TAAAGCATGTAGGATGTGAAGATAGATTTGCAATTTGTTGCGGATGTATTTATAGTTAAAAAAAATTGGATTAGAAATTAACATGATTAATTGTATTTTTACAACTTTAGTATGTATGAGTCAATTATATATAAACCAAGAATGGATAATTGCTAACAAAGATTATGTAGTTATAGTATTTGAATAAAATATGGCAAATGACAATATATTTTTTTAATAATTTCAAATACTATTTAAGTGGTTTATATAGTCAAATTCTAAATGATTTGATGTATAAAATAGTAATATTAATTTTATTAAGAACTTATTATTGGTAACAAAATTTAATATAGATGTAGTATTCTAAAAATAAGCAAATGACACCTAAAAATTTAATAATTTATTATTTTATTTAAGTGATTTAGTATACTAATATTAATTTTATTCAAACGGATTATTGGTAACAAAATTTAATATTGTTGCATTACTTTAACAAAAAACAGTTTGTTTCGGTTGCTGAAAATTTTAATTCAACAAGCATCATGATGTTTAACAAACTAATTACATATATTTATATTATTTAATAATAAAAATTAACACAATAAAATTGTTCTCTCAAATATTATCGAGCTCTATAGGTGACTAACGACCCAATTCAGAGAAGTAGATGGGCCAACCAAACAACCCCAGTCTAGCTCAAATTTGTGTATAGATAAGGGTAAACTTAATATGGATGATGAAGTTATTAAGAAAGTGAGTTAAAGTTTCCTAAACAAGTAAGAAGTTAAAAAATGGGGATAGAATTATGAACAAAGAAATAATGGAGGAGTAGATGAAGTGAGGATTATCTTAATTCATATAATAATACATATATATATATATCACCTAGAATGAGAGGAAAATGACACCCAGCCATCCAACATCCAAATAATTTTATCTTCTTTCTTTTTGCTTTCATTTTATTTATGCTTATGAGCTTAAATTTATGTTCTATTTTTTTTTAACGTTTAAATCCAAGAAATTTTCATTCCTATTTTTCAATTCAACTTCTTCTTTTCAATTTACTTTGCCTTTTGTCTACTTTGCTTTCCATATTACAATATTTTTTCAATTCGATTTGTACTATGTTCGGTCCATCATCGGCTCATCATTCTATGAGTATTTTTGTTCAGAGGCATTACGATTCAATATCCAACTGCGAGATTAGCCCGAATCCTTTCTTGAGGAGGCCGGAGAACCCAATTCACGTCGATCTCGACTGGCCTAATCCATTGGGCCGTTATCGAAGAATTTCAGCGATAACAGATTGGCACGCCCAATGGTACTCCAAAGAGTATCTCATTTCATGCAATTGACGAATCGCAAACTACCATCTCCAGACAGCACCACCATGTTGGAAGAAGAAGGAGTCACTGGCAAAAATTCAGCGCTACATGTTTCCGGAGAGATCACACATGAAGAATATTCTATGGCTCCGGAAGATGTGGAAAGAATGGTGACGATTCCGACCAACATTTTACAGGACCAAATCTGGAAGGAGATCCAAGCGGCACTCCATGGGTCGGCGCTGGAACTTTCCTGGTACATTTTGGATAAGCCCACCATCCGCGATGAATTCTCACGGATGAGGGACGAAGAAACACGCAAGGGCAAGACACCGGCTGACAGCCCCAAAATTGCTAGAAATAACCCTCTAAAAAGCGTAACGCAGGGGGGCACGGCTGGATCACCTCCAGTGTCACTCCAATATGGCATCGTGACCATACTAGCCAAAGGAAACGGAGGCAGAGGCCTCCAGGACGGGACAGTGGCTGAAGGACCTCGACGGTCCTCGAGGCAGGCCATCTCAGGGTTGCCTTCATAACAGGGACAAGCGGGAAGCAACGGATATGCACTACCCATGTCCCAATGGAGTACCAACCTTCTATTCGGCGGAATAGGCGGTCCTCCATCAACAATGGGTGTAAACGCTCAAGGAAATTTCTTAACCAGAGGAGGAGCAGCCAACCCTTGTGGGGCATGGCCAACGACGGCCTCGATACTCCCGTTTGCCCTATTAGCCCCTGAAGTTGGTTGTGGGGCATCCGCTCCACCTCCAAACACATCTTGGGGGGCAACCCTGCAACCTCCGAGCCCATGGGGCTAGCTCCGTCATCAGTAGCAGTTGCGTGGGGCCCTAATTTACTAGCTCCGGCCTTGCCACCTCCGCCGGGGGGGGCAAGTAGCGTACCAAAAGGCATCCCTTGCTGGACCAGCCGCACAGCAGGGGTACGGACCACCACAATAGGGGCCCCCGATTCAGTTTGGTAACTTTGTTTTGCCACTAGCAGCACCTCCGAGAGTGCCGGTCAATGTGAACCGAATTCGTCCACCCTCGGCACACCCTCCACAATGATATCAGTAACCCGTCCACCGTGTTCAGCCAGGGGGCAGCCCGGAGGACATGCCGAGATTGCTTCTCCACCGCGACTGGTTATTAATCTGGAGACCATCGAGGAAGGAATTCGTAGTTGTATGGTGACCCTATTTGGCTACCCGGTAGGCCCTATTATCAACGGCCGTTTCCGGATCAAGTTGTCATCGACCATCCGTTACCCTGGAATGCACGAGTTCTGGAATTCACGTTGTTCTTGGGAGAAGATTCACGGTCTACTATTAAGCATATCGACCGGTACACGGCACAATGCGGAGGAGAGTTCAAGACAAAACGAATAGTTTAAACTCCAATTATTTTTGTTGTCTCTCACATGGCCGGAATTTACGTGGTACGCATCTTTGCCGCCAAACTCGTGCAACACTTGGGCGGATCTCGAAAGGATATTCCATGGCGTTTTCATAACCCGCTGCTGGAGGTGACGATGTCGGATCTAACCAACCTACGGTGTCGGAGGTGAAGCAATTTTTGGAAAGATTCCGCAAGGTAGAGGGGCGGTGTTAGGTCCGGATACCTGAAAATCAAGTGGTCAATATGGCCATTGATAACATGACGCATTAGCTCTAAGAGAAATTAGCTCTCCAGGAGTATAACGACCTCCGAAAGCTCACCGGGAAAGCAGTGGAGGCGGAACATCTCCTCCGGGATCCCCATGCTGCCGGACATCATAAATTTAAAAACGGAGCATACATGGTCCAGGTTCAAGAGAAGAATCTGGACTACCCGGACAAGTCGAAGATGTAAATCAAAACGGAGTCATTCCCGATTCCGATCAATGCTATTGGTGTCCGACCGACTCGAGAGAAACACTTAGCCCCAGGTGTTAGGCGTAGTCCTAGACAACCCGCCTTGAAGAGGAATGTGCTCGAGCGGCTTGGGAGATCCAACAAACCTCCACGAAGAAACTCGGCATGGGATCACCTTTTGCCAAATAACACCGTCGTCGAAGTTAGTTTCGAAAAAGACGGTGAGATTTGGCGAGTAACTTTGGTTGACCAGGTGGTGATAACTCGTCACCTCATCCAACGACCTGAACAGCCCCCGAACGACGGGAGTTGGTCCAAAAATCGAAAAGTGAGGAATCACCCCCTTACTAGGACTCAACGGAGTAGGCAGCAGCGGCAGCTCCGGGCAGCCCGTCTTATCCCAAGGGAACAAAAGCAGCAACACGAACAACCTCAGAAAGTTGTGTCTAGATTGTTGCTAATGGAAATGTGCCAAAAGCGGAAGAATTACTCCCCGGAGGAGAAGACGATGGGAATGGAAGCCGAAACAGGCTGTCCCCAAAGGACATAAGCAATTTGGAACAACAGCCTCCCTCGGAGGTACTAGTAGCACCTATTTTGGAAGACGAGCTAGTCATTGAAGCATTGGAAGATGATAAGACATCACTTGCAAGTCTGGACATCATTGCGAATGATCGGGACTTGGAACAGACATTACACTACAAAAAGGATTTCCATGTATATACTATCGGCTTATTGCCTAGGGAGTTCGAAGAGACTTGGACAGAATGCAATCAAAGAATTTGAAATCCTCACGGAGGCCGATGCACGGTCTGCTTCCCAATTTATTCGCAATGTATGAGGATCGGGAAGTGATACAGGACCTTGAGGAACGGATTTACGAGACATACGGTGCCATTGGAGGACCTGAATCTGTCCCGGTGCGTACTCTTGAGAGGCAGACACATTCCTCGTGTCCGCCACCTTCCTTGGAGGATCAGAATAAAAAAGAGCTTTCCTCTTCCATCCAGAGGGCTAACCCATCGTTTAAGGCTCAGTATTCTGTGGAAAAAATCAATCTTGGTGACGATTCAGTCCCCTCAGATGGTGTAAATTAGTTCGTTGCTACTCCCGAATGATGCGGATCAGCTCATTGTTACCTCAAGAACAAAAGCAATGATTAGTAACTTTGATCCGGGAATACTAGGGCTAGTTTGCATGGGATCACCACGGAATGTCGGGTAGGAGTTTAGTGGAATATCGGCTACAAATCTCAAACAAAAATATTGGGCTTCAAATTTCGACAAACTTTTTGTCCAAATATTTTTGTGGTGGACATTTGTTACTCTCAAATTTTATTTTCTTTTTGGTTTCAACTTATTCATGCTTATTATATTAAATTTATGTTCTATTTTTTTTTAGATCTAAACAATTTTCATTTCTATTTTTTCAATTGAGCTTTCTACTTTACTTCTTATATTACAATATTTTTTGAATTTGATTCGTACCGTATTCGGTTCATCGTCGGACCATCGTTCTACGAAAATTTTGGTTTGAAGGTGTTACGATTCAATATCCGACTGCGAGATTAGCCCGAATCTTTTGTTGAGGAGGTCGACGAACCCAATTTATGTCAATCTCGACAGACCTAATCCATTAGGCCGTCATTGATGATTTTCAGCGATAACAATTTTATTTGAAATAGAATATTTGATCTGAGTTTTTGATTTAGTTGCTATTTTAATCTACTATCGAGAGAAAATAGTAAAATCGTAATAGTGGAAGATTGATTTTTTGGTATGAAATAAGAAACAAACACTTTTGTTTATGAGTATATTTCTTTTCTTGATCGGCATGGCCTCTATTCTCTTACAAATATGGTACCTTCTACGAGACCCTTCTCAACCTCCGCCTCACTATTCTTCCCGCACTCTACCCCGAAATTCCACAATCTTTTCAGCTCAACTGCCGCATTCCGAATGGGCACCAAACCCTTCTCCTCCCAAAATCCATCTCACTTGCCATCGGAAACTAACAGAATCCCCGCGGCTGAAGCTGCCGTCAGCCTTCAGGAATGGCAAGGTTGGGGGACCGTTTCCCCTGTTCCCTCCATGGTTACTCAAGTCATTCGAGATTTGAAGCTTTTGGAAAAAACCCTCGATGCGAGGATGACGTTCGACGGGAACCACGGCACTCTATCGGTGATGAATCCTAACTTCCTTTCGTAGCCATCTGGTAGATTTCATCTATTATTTTCTTTGTTCTTTGATATTGGGTTGGATTGGAGTGGAGTGGGGATTGTTTTTTTTTTTTTTTTTTTTTTTTTTGCGAATTCCAGCTACGCTAATTAATAAATGCAGAGAGCTGCAGATCCCTCATTGTTATATCTCTAATTCTTTCAATTACAGTCGTACTTGTTTTCTACCGGAATTCAATCACCAAACTGGCACTATTCTGCCAAATGTTCAGTGTTGGTGTCGAATTTAGAAAAAAAGAAAAATTAGTGAATTTAGTGAAGTTATTTTTAGTTCCAAAGGGGTTTTGAATTTCTATTTTATTTTTATGATGCAGCTGAAGTTGATTGTCATAGTAGGCCAGCTTTCATAGGTTTAATCTTTTTATTGTTGAGATCAGTGAAAAAAATTGCATTAGACCTACAATTCTTTTTTTTTTTTTTTTTTCTAAATCTTCTGTAAATTTACAAATTAATTGGTTCTCTAGTTTCAAGGCCTGTGCTCTCTGAAAATGATAGGACCAAATTACAACAAGTTGATGCATAATTTCAATCGACTATTTGTGCTAGGAACACACATTTTTGTTCTAGTAAATGCTGTGGACAATACAACACTTTTGCTGCAATAATGAAATGACGATGCTTCGTGCTATTTGAAACTTTAAAGAAATCAGTATTTTCATTGGTTAGCGAGTACATAGAGTATAGTTATATTCCATAAATGTAGTTCTATTGGTAAGAGAAGTCCTTCCCCATAGTTTGAAGCAACTAAAAAAGAGAAATGGTAAAAATGGGCAGTCACTAAATGCCATCTTAAGTGATTTTACTTGGTCACATGCAAAATAAATAAATGGTCTCTCGCCTTATGTGAATTTGATTCTGAATGTGAGTGTGTGTCAGCTAGAATGCTGCATATATATCATATCCATCTCTATTTTTTGTTCCAGGGAGAATTCAAGGTGCACGAGGACAAGAAGCATAGGGCCAAATACAAATCTTTAGGTAGTTCTGAAGAAAAAATCCAATTCTTCTCAGCTCGACAAATAGCTTGCCGGTTACTTGGAAGCAGAGGTTATCTTTGCCAGAAGGCATGTTGTTAATTACTGTTCATATATAAATTTTTCTCCAAGTATAAGGTTACTCCGGAAACTTCCATACATTACTCTAAACCTGTGAACTATTTTTCTACTTTATGTTCATATGGTCTTTTTTATTATTATTTTTTGGATCATTTTTATTTATATTTGCATTTTGAAACATCTACCAGTGCTGGCTTCCACAAGAAGATTGCATGTGCTCAAGCATTGCAAGGTGCTCTCTTTGCCATCAAGTTCATTTCTGGTTGTATATGCATCCGAAGGTTTCCTTTTCTCTTTAAACTTTGAATCTTATATTTTTAAGAACTGTGAAAGAGAAAACAGAGGCTATGTTTTGATCATTTGCATTATAATTTTGTAAGGAGTGAGTTAATGAGTAAACCCTATATCCACAAATGCTCTATACCTTGAGTAGGTTATTTGAGAGATTAGTCAGTACCCCGTTTTCAATATATAAATTGAATGTTTCCTGAAACTTAGTTTGTTTAACAATTTGGTGGAACAATAGTCAAAAGTTACGTTTGAAACGAGGCTATCACTAACACATGCTTTTGAAAATGTGAAGTACTCATGAGAGAATCATTCAAGCAATAGTTATGATCTACTTTTCTTGCCATGCGTACATATTTGGCTAATTTCTAGTTGTTAACAGGATTTTCTGAGACAGAACAATACCGGGAAGTTACTGTGGCAAGTTTTTGGAATACAAGCTGCAACTTTGTGTCTCTTTGGAATAATTGAGCATGAGGAAATGATGTGGGAAGTATTGAAGCATGCAGGTGATGCATTTACCCTAATACCCTTGCCTTTTCCTCTCTCCCCCTCTCTCTCTCAAGTGCCATTTTTATTTATACCTGACATTCTCTATGAAAGGAAACGGTATTGCCTGGGAATCAGAAAATGCAGCGGAAACGAAATTAAACAAATTTAATTAGCAAATTTATTTTATTCAATATCATGCAAGGCAGCATTGCTTTAATAGAATATAGAATCGCCAACAAAATTGGCTTTCTTGTCATTTATTCTAACACCATAATAGTTAATTGCATGACTTATGGACCCTGATGCTTGTGGTAGCTATAAATAGCGTTCTTAAAATCAAGAAAGATGAATCGTGGTAAATCAACATCAAGAAAACCAAATCAAGATTAAATAAGAGAAAAAAAAAGGTCCAAGGAAGCCAAAAAAGGATATGTGTCGTATTATATATTTGAATTGTGAGAAGTTTGAACACTATCAAAGTCGGTGCAAAGCACTAAAGAAAGACAAAATATGACAGCAGCTCAGTCAACACATGATAATTTAAATATTGATCTTTTATACATTATTGTACATTTCTATTTTTACGTAAATTTTTATTATTTTGAAGATAATAAATGTTTGGATTTTGAGCGTGAGTAGTCCCTTGGAATCGTGGGTGTTGGATTCTGGAGTTCTATTGCATTCTTGCAACAACTTAGACATGATGGAATGCTACACTTCTGAAAATTTCGGCATTGTCTATGATTAGCCATTGAGGATCGTGGGCAAGGGAAATGTTCGCATCAAAACTCCGAATGTATGCGAATTGAGGCTGCATGGAGTTAGACACGTTTTAGGCTTGAAGAGAAATCTGATTTCAATAGGAAAATTGGATAATGAAGGATATACAACAACCTTCGGATGAAATACTTGGAAGATCACTAACGGAGATAGGGTTTTGGCTCGAGGCAAAGAAGGAAGGTACTTTATATATAACTCCTACGGCCCGTGACACTATTTTTGTTGCAGATGCAAAGTATGATGCATAATTGTGGCATCATCGACTTGACCACATGAACGAAAAGGGGATGAACGTAATGCTTTCGAAAGGCAAGCTTCCAAGCTTGAAATCAGTGGATGTAGGGCTATGCAAAGAATGCATATTTGGGAAATAGAAAAGAGTGAGTTTCTCCACTGGAGGAAGATATAGAAAGAGGCAGAAGTTAAATCTAGTGCACAATGACTTGTGGGGGGCCAGACATTCATTAATGATGCAACAAGAAAGGTATGTGTTTACTTTCTGAAACATAAATCTGACGTGTTTCAAGCTTTCAAAAAATGGAAAGCTCTGGTTGAGAATGAAACATGACTCAAATTGAAATGACTAAGTTCTGACAATGGTAGAAAATATGACTTGTTAGACTGTAAGAAGTATGTACTGTGAATGGTATTTGAATGGAAAAACAATACTTGGAGCACCTCGGCAGAATGGATTTTCCGGATGTATGAACAAAACATTGTACGAACATGTAAGATGTATCCAATTGAAGTGCGAACTACCAAAGATGTTTTGGGCTGAAGCTGTCTAAACTACCGTATTTCTAATCAATAGAGGACCATATATTCCATTTGGTAACGGCATTCCAAAGGAAGCATAGAGTGGAAAGGATATAATTTTGCCCTACTTGCGAGTATTTGGATATATATTATGGCTTAACAATCGAAGCAAGTTGGATTCCAAGTTTGTCAAATGTATGTTCGTGGATATGGCGATGATGAGTTTAGATATAGATTTTAGGATGTGAAGAAATGCAAGATTATTAAAAGCAAAAATGTTAAATTGGATAAGCGAGTGTTATACAAAGACAGATGTTGAGCGACCAAAACAGAGAAAGCAGATACTTGAAAGATGGGGTGTAGTTTGTGGAATTGGACGTTTCCAACTCTAATTCCAGATAGGCAGTTAGCACTGATTAGGAGATTGTTCGGGCAAAACCTAATCTAGTCCAGTCGGAAATAGTTCAGCCAGAACCAGTCACTGCAGAAGCTTCGAATATTGGAAGACCTACTAGACAATATCGTGCTCTTGAGAGATACTCACTTTCTCTACATTATTAACTTTTAGCTGACTATGGTAAACTTGAGTACTATGGAGAGGTTCAAGAGAGTGAAAAATCAGACAAGTGAATACTTGCAATAGATGATGAGATAAAGTCCCTACCGTCAAATGAAAGAAAGAAAGTGTTGCACAACAGGTGGGTTTACAGAATCAAGGGGTAAATGAGAGCACATTATGCAATGGTGTGTAAAAGACGAGACATTGCATATGCAGTGGGAGTTACAACAGATTCATGAGTAATTCAGGCAGGAACTTGGCATGGACAGGATACCTATGCACACTTAGCAAGAAGCGACCTTGAAAAGAAGTTGCCGCTTATGAAAATTCAGGGAGTAGAATACCCCGCAAATATGTTAACTAAAGTTGTGACCTTGGAGAAGTTGGAGTATAACTTCAATAGGCCTTGAAGAGTAAGAGGAAACGGCTTGGTGCTGTCATTTCTGTTGCAGTAAAATATGAAGGGTGTAAGATATAATTAGTTTTCTAGTGGGAAATTATTAGATATGAAAGTCTGGTTTTATTCTAAAATCTAGAGATACTGATTTCGATATTATTAACATGGGCTTGGTTGTTTTGCTGTTTGCATCATAATTCTCATATAGTGAAATTCCTAGTTTGGCAGCGCCCGATACGTAGATCAGTTTGATCGAATTGGATTACCAAATTTTGTGTCCCCTATTGTTCTTTATTGCTTCTACATTGCATTATTTTTATAACATCTACATTACTTGGAAGTGCAATTATGAATGGTGAAAATGTTTTGTTGCATTAAGAATATCAAATGATATGATATTTTCCAAGTTGGATCAATTTGGTGATCTAATAAAATGAATTTTCCAAATTAAATCAATTATTTGATCAAATATATTCTGGATTTGCAAATTGAACCTTACTGAATATTCAATGCAGATACCACTTTTGCATATTATTCCATTGTTAGTTATCATCAAAGTCTTATGGAAATGAATTCACTCTTTCTTTGGTAAGACCTTGTCTTCGTGCTAAGTATTTATATAATGTTCCATTAAAGTGGGTAGAAGTTTATGTGCTGCTCAGAAGTATCCACACATTTCTGTACCCGTGAAATTACTCTGTATCAATTTGTCTGAGCATGTGATCCTAGGATTAAGTAGTAATTTCCAACTTAAGTTATTAAGTGTCTACTTAACCCATGCTTTTTAGGAAGGATTATATACATATGTATATATATATATATATATATATTGGAGTTACATTTAGTGCCAAGGATTATGAAAGCAACTTTAATAGCTCAGAGGTGCAGTGGTGCAATAAGTTAAATGTTTTTTGGCTGTTTAATTTTTTTCATTTTAACAATATGTATGATAAAATAAATAATCTACTTTGCTTTTGCATTATTATCTCGTGTTTTGATAACCCTTTATTATTTCCATGGTGTCAATCTTTGGACTTATCCCCAATATTAGCTTTGTCAATATTGCATAGTCCTCAACTTTTGACTGGAATTTCGTAATATTTTCCATTCTTAAGCATATCAAGGATTATCTGAGCATAAGTGGACTACAAGTAGACTCCAGCCATCACACAATTGACAAATCCAGGATGCGTTCCATAAGTCATTTACAGTTGGGCATGGGAGAATGCGAATAAGATGAACATGTTGGAATTGTACTTGTTTTTCCAGAATACTGACACCACAAAAATACTTGTTCAATTTCTTGAGTCTCACAACAATGTAAAACTTGCTTATAACTGCTATTTAAATCTAGCTACAGTCGATATGGATTTTGTATTTTTTTTTTTGCCGTAATTGTCTGCTGTTAAGATTTTCCACTTTAAACATTTGAACCTAGCTTCATTATTTTTTATTTGTATTTTTGCATTAAAGTACAACAGATTATTATTATTATTATAGATAAAAAATGTGGAATTATCATTGTTTGCAGGGAGACATAGGGTGTGTTGCCTTTATCCAAATAAGAATGCTATGACCAAATCTGTTGAGGAAAGCTTCAAATTCACCATCGATCATGAAACCCAAGCAGTATGTATGGTCACATTTATAAAATTCAATATTTCATGTCTTGAGTTAATATATGATGTTAAATATTGAAACCTGCCGTGTATGCCTAATATTGAGAGTAGGAAATGGCTTCCCTTATTTTTACACATCAATTTCTCGTATTTGCAAAGCTTCCGTGTTTAGTATGCAGTTGTATGTTCAAAACTAAGCTAGTATAGAAACTAGTTATAATGACTTATTTGAATATTGGTCATTCAGCTCATCACTTGCCAGCAGAGTGTTCTTGTTTTGAAGTTCTGAGTTGACGAGTTTCTATTTTTGACTTGCTTTTTTTTATTATGGTGATGGTTTCACAGGCAACCAAAAGTAACTCCATGCATTTTATTTTGATTGATGGTACTTGGAGCAATTCAGGTGCCATGTTCAGGCGCTTGCAGGTGTGAAGCACGATTGGTTCTTTTCTGTCTTTTATTTATTTATTTTGATAATAGTAAAACATTTAATAAAAAGTAGGTAATGAATGTGATATTTTAAATGGAATATTTGTAGTTTGCTTGATGTTTTTTACACTGGGGATTGTGTTTTTATGTAATATTTTAAATGGAAATAGAAGTTGGATATAATAATATTTTAGGGGAAACATATCGGGAATAGTACAAAAATGAATTTGTAAAATGCAAGTAAACAAACTGTTGCTTCTCAATAATGATTCCTGATAGATTTCTAAACTGCAAGAATCTTGTTTATACGAACTACACATAAAAGAATAGCTTGGTAGTTGAAATTTAAACTACTAATATTAGTTATGCACTGCTTGTTAAACTTTCATTTGTAGCATCTCATTTAATGCTCTGGGTAAATCAAATCGAATTTTGCAGATTCCGACGGAGCCTGATCTCAATTTTCACTGGAAAATATATAGGTTATTGCCTTTTGATTCATTTAACTGGTTTATACGCAGGATAGAGCTAAATTAGTGTGGGGAGATGAACTTCAGTGCGTATCCCTAAACTCAGGTGCATCAGCAATGCATAAGCTAAGGTACTTGTTTAATTCGTTAATCTTCTGACATATACTTTGTTTCTTTTACATGTTTATCTAGAAGTGAAAAGGTGTTTCACAATTTACGCCGTTGTACAATTGTCAATGCAAATTGCTGCAAAATAAGGGTAGTTTTTTGCAACTTCATACGGGTGGAACTTTATATATATATATATGGCGGTGGTTAGGATGCTGACTGGATCAAATCGTGCTGATTTGATCCGTCAGCGCAGACACACACACAACATATATGTATAAGACAAACAGTGTATGCATATGTATGTGTATACTACAGCATATAGCTGTGTCATATAGAAGTCTGTCTAGTTTATATATATTGTACTGTGGTGTATTAATATGTTTATTGTGTTGAAACCAATAATATATTGTGCTATTTAGACTAATATCAATGTGTTGTCAGGACATGTGCTGTATTTTGTATTATTACGTACTGTCGAGAATACACTGCCTACATATATATATATATATATATGTTGATTGGTCAAATCAGCACGAGTATCTTATGTGTTGATTTGACTCTTTCAGTGTGGTTACCACTTTGATATATGTATATATGTTTTTTCTTGTTCAGCATGCAAGTTTCTAATATTTTTAATGCGGCGATAATGGGCTTTCTGATATGAGTTCAGACCTCAACCATCATGGGACCGCACGTGTACAGCAGCTGCCGCAGCAAGCCTCCTTGATGAACTCCAACTTCTCCCAGATTTCAGCTCTTGCGGATTGGACAAACAGGCCACTGCTGTTGAAAATGCTCTGGAGGTTCTGCTGGAAGCCCTCACGGCACGGAGGCTCCGAATGGGCAGGTCCATCTCCCGTCGGGAAAGACATAACCGTGATATTTGCTAATGAACAAGCCGTGCCATCTGCCTATGATTGGTAAGCATTCATTCGGATGTGGTTAGATCTTTAGGGATTGCTCAGCTGACTGTACATTGAACACGAAGAAGAATTAAGCGACTTGTATTCTGATCAAAAAGAAGAATTAAGCGACTTGTATGTCTCGCTCTGAATAGTGCGAAAACAGATTGAACTTACCCAATTTTGAGAGAATGTACGATGGAAGGTAGAGTTCCATGTCAGTTGATTTTTCTGAGTTGAAGGGTTTGATTGGTAGATGTAATCGGTCCGGGAATGGTGCTGAATTACTAGAGTATCATGCTGAACAAATATAATTCAAAAAAATTAGGAATGAGATTACATACATTGAATTTTGAATCATGCTAAGTTTTTGTGTCGAGAGTAAATTTTTATATTTTTCCTTTTATCACATTATATGCTTATTTTATAAATATCATTTTTCGAAGGTGGAAGAAAACATTTATATAATAGACGGTCATCATTTTATCATTTGTTACTCGTGGTTGATGTCAACAGTGCTTTGTTGCATATATTAGATATAATGAGAGGAACAACGGAGTTGAAGCTTGACTTCGAATGGAGTGGTGAATCGAATAGGAAATAGAATGAGATACAACGGCTAGTTTGAATCAACAGTCGATGATGTGGGGGCTAACAATTTCGGCAACGTTTTGTTGACATCGATTCAGGAGAGTCATTGGTGTACTGCCTCAGGATCTACCATCTTTTCTGTCATTGGTGTACTGCGGAGATTAGAAACAATGAAAGGGATGGAAGAAATAAGTGACAAATTGAGTCGGAAATGAAATTAGTCACGACGAAGGTGTTCGAATCAACGACGCAGCGTGGGGAGGTCAAATCTGGTGACTTCTTGACGACGGCGCGTCGGAAGGGTTTTTCGGACAGAAAACGGGTGAGAGGATTTGGGGCTGTGGTTGGGTGATGAGGGTAGAATAAAGTTGGGTTGTTTTATTTGATTTTTTTTTGTTTTGATTTTGTTTCATGTTTTTAATTGTTAAAGGTATCCCAAAAGTTAGATATTACATGTGTTATGTGGAAATAATATTAATAAATAAAAATATAATGTACATCATTGTAACAAAATAAGGTAAGAAGAATATTGGTATCTTTCCGATATATAAAATTTAGAAGGATCCTTGATTTATTTCAAACATTCGATCAATTTTATTGACAATCCAATGGGTAATTTTAATGGGAGGTGTTTTTGGGTTTTTTTGAAAAAATTCAATGATCTTTGATTAAGAAAAACCAATTATCTTAACTATTTCCTATATATTTGAAAAGTCAATCATAATTAAAAATAGAAACGTTTGCAAATAGTTATTTTCTTAAATTGTACACATTTGAAATATAATGATGTATACGGTTATCATAGATGATGTCTATATAATGCTATTACTATATTTTATCACAAAATACTCTAACTGGAATGATATTTTTATAAATATATTATATTGTATTTTTTTAACCCACGGATTATTTATTATATAATCCTTTCACCCTCCCACCCCCAAAATTTATTTACCAACTTTAATTTTACCATTTAGAGACTCTCTTCTTTCTCTCATCGTCTTGCCTCCGTCGACCATGTATTCCGCATCACTGATGACGACATCTTTAGCAGCACCCACCTCCGTCAAACATGCTAATTGCGTCCGCCCTCGATTCCCCTTATATTTACACATCCGCAGTTGACGACCGTCACAGCCGAAATCTCTGGCCGCGCCCGACGCCGTCAAACACGCTAGCCACCTCCTCCCTCGATTCCCCTTCTATTTACACCTCTGCAATTGACGACCGCTGATGACGACATCGTGCGTAAATGTGCATTCTTGATTAATTTCTTTTAGAAGAAAATATCCGCGCAACTATTTCTAAAAATCTTTTTGTTGGTCTTTGGACATGTATGATGTATATTTAAAACACATATGTTGTTTAACTCATAATAATCTAATGATACTAAACTTTATTATGCACGTTTTTATTTCATGTTATGTTTATATATTTCATATTTATGATATATTGATCAACTTTAAATGATGGACTATGTTAAATATATTTTTCACCATTGTATTTATAAGTATGATATATAACTTCAATAGACATGCATGATATATAAATCGGATATAAATGATATAAGTTGCATATATGGATGTCGCACATATAATTACGATATATTTTATTTTATGATTCATATTTATGATTTATAGATTGCATAGTTATGATGTATTGGTTAGGTTTAAATGGACTATGTTGGATATATTTTTCACAATTATGTTTATATGTATGACAGAGCGACAACATCTTCTGAATATGTTCGTTTATTATTGGGGTCAACTCTACTGTCTTTATGTACTCCTCTTTATTGTTGCAATAATGAATGTGTTGCACATGATGATGATCACTTTTTGCCTTTTTTCGCACAGAAAATCCTCTTCTATGCGCGTATCTACAATATGACTTGTACGCATCGTTGAAACTTGAAAAAAATGCATTGCTAGTAGTCGTCACCGGTAAAAAATATGCTATTTATTTTAATGTAATATGGTTTACGAAATATAGTATTATGATGTCGCTCTAGCATGAATATTGAGTAACTAAATTATTTGCCTTCTTTTTTTACGCATATATTTAGGGGTGAGCATTCGGACTTTCGGTTCAGATTTCGTCAAATCCGAACCGATTCGAAAATCTGAAATTTTTGAAAAAGGTAATCCGAACCGAACCGAATTAACCGAAATCCGAAATCCAAAAATTCGAAATCCGAAATCCAAAAATTCGAAATCCGAATTGGAAAATCCGAAAAAAAATCTAAACTTCACAATCCAAAAGAAAAAATCCGAACCAAACCAAAAAATTCGAAAAAAAAAAACTCTATTTTTTTGAAATAATATTTAAAAAGAAAATAAAATCATAATATATAAAATATGACACAAATAAACCTCGAACAAACTACGGACATTTATCAACAAAGAAACTAAGCACAAATAATTAAATAAATCTTCTAATGTAACAAACAAATTAAATGCATATTTCAACAAACAAAATAAGCACAAATAAGTCTATTAAATCTGTTAATACAACAAAACACGAAGCAAATTCACTCATTCATAGTCACACAACAATGATCATTCACTTCAAAACTAAATTCAAAACGTCATTAACCATTTAATCAATTATTTCCGGATTGAGAGAAAAAACCTGCAAAATGGACAATAATAATGGTGTCAATAAAAAGTTTAATAAGCTATAATAGGAAGATAGAAAGATATAAATTAAATTGAACTTATAAAAGCACGGAAAGTATACATATTGTTGTCTTTCATCACAGTTGTGCCGTTGTTGATGAAGATGGAAGTATTAAATCTTTCATACCTACATAAAAATATATATATTATTTATATACACAAAGTAAAATAAAAAATTTAAATAATGCATAAAACTTAAATATTAAAATACCTTTTTTCATTTTCTCGACATCTTGAAGAATTTCTTCAATACTTAAAGGAGCATATTTACGAAGCCAATCTTGAGCACAAACAAGATACTCCACAACTTTAGGACTTAAAGAACTCCTAAATGGATCAAATACTCGTCCTCCAATGCTAAATGCCGACTCCGATGCTACAGTTGAGACGGGCACCGCTAGAATATCACGGGCTACTTGGGAAAGTATGAGATATTTATATTCATTATTTTTCCACCAATCTAAAATATTAATTTCAGTCCTTGATTCGCATTATCTTCTTTAAGAAACTTAAGAAGATCATTAACATCCTCTTTCTGATGAAAAGTTTCATATATATAGATCCCACTTTTCTCAACGCATCTTTTAGTGCGTCATCATCATCATCCATTCCAACATTAGGCAACTCTCTTTCTTCTTAATCATCATTTTTTTTCCATACAAATTGGTTGCTTGTAATCACCACACAGCATACAATTCATCTTCAACTTCTTTTGCAATTGAGTTAGCCAACTCAACATCATACATACTTGATAATGCAAGTGTCACCCACTTCAACTTGTATCGAAGATCAACAACAATGGCCATGAATATTATCTTATTCATCTTAATTGGATCTCCCCAATATTTGTCAAACTTTTCTTTTATATTCTTGGTCATTTTACTAAATTCATCATCTTTACCTTCTATGAAAGTCTTCAATAAAATCTAAACTTTGTAAATCTCATGAAGAAACACGTTAGGAGTAACATATGAAGACCCCGAAATATTACAAGTCACCTCATAGAAAATCCTCAAAAAATTCATTATCCTTTTTGCTTTCATCCAATCATTCTTACTAGGCACCCCGTCATTAGATTAAAGATCAATTCTATAAATCGGATATAGCACATCAAACCTAGAAAATGCTTTCTCAAATGCAATTGCTGCTTCCAGCATCAAATATGTTGAGTTTCATCTAGTAGGAACATCTAAGCACAATAAACTTTTACTTGATATCTTTTCTAACTCACAAAATTCCTTAAACTTGTTCAATCTAGATCCCGAGTACCTAACAAATCAAATAGCATTTCTAATTTTCTTCATAAAAGACCCAATTTCTTTCAAACCATCTTGCACCACCAAAATTGAAGATATGAGCAATACATCTCATGTGCATATGGTTATAACTTCTGATGTTTTCACCCCATTGATTGATAGTTTCTTTCAAAAAAAAATAGGGCAACATCATTTGAGGAAGCATTATCAACAGTAATAGTGAACACCTTATCAATACCTTAATCATGCAAGCATTTTTTAATTTCTCAAACAATGTCTCTACCCTTATGACTAGAAATTGGACACAAATTGAGAATTTTTTGACCAATTTCCAGTCACTATCAATATAGTGAGATGTCAAACACATGTAATTCACTTTTTGAATCCAAGTCCATGTATCAGTAGTAAGACATACTATTTGATTTATAGATTTCAACAATGTCATCAACAAATTTTTCTCATCCTCGTACAACTTAAAGCAATCACGTGAAATTGTCCATCTAGATGGAATCTTAGACTTAGGACAAGTCTTAGATATAAAGTATTGAAATCCCCTCTTTCAACAAACTTAAAAGGTAACTCATCAACAATAGTTATATGAGCTAAGACATTCCTAACTTCTTCTTAATCAAAACTCCAAGCATTAAGACATGAACTTTGTCCGGATGGAAAAATCAATTGTGATTGCTTAAGATC